CCGCATCATGAAGTAAGTGGAGGTGAAGAAAGTCTGGAGGCCTAGAGCACTAAATGGTAGACTCTGGGAAAATTGTAGCCTTTTTAGCCAGTGCATCGCTACCATATTAGCCTCACGAAAAACATGGCAAATAGACCATAAATAATTCTCAAGTTGGGACTTACAAATAGCGGCTATGGTATGAAGTGCCCATGGAAATTTGTAGCTGCCTTGTATACCCTGAACCAACAAGGACGAATCGCTTTCAATTTGGAGAGGGAAACAATTCATCTAAATAGCTAAATAAACGCCTGCTTCTAAACTACGGAATTTCGCCCAATTATTTGAAGCCATGCCTAAGGTTATAGAGAAAGCAGCAATGAAAGAACCATCATCCCTTCTAATGACACCCCATAGCCAGATATGCCTGGATTTCGAAGAGAAGACCCTCCAACGTTTAACTTGAAATGTTGTGGATCTGGAAACGCCCATGCCACTGCTTTTGTTAGCTTGATCCTTTGTTGCCGCTAGGTGAGTTGTAGGTTTTCAGTAATCGCCTTCTCTAAGATATGATAGGACCAGGCCTTAGCATTCGTTAAGTCACGAGCATGGGACGTAACCCTCCTAATCAATTCCTCTCTCGAGAGTTTCCTCCCTTGAAACATTCAATGGTTACGCTCCTCCCAAACCATCCTCCCAAACCATCCAAACTGTTGTGAAGAAAAGAGATAGCCAGATATTAATAATGCCATTAGGCTGGAATTTAAAAGGTGACCATTTCCTCAAAGAGGTTGCAATAGAGCAATCCGGGATAAAACATTTTCCCCATTAACTACAATATTTAAAAAAAAAAAAATTTGCCGATCTCAATCGAAATCCTCCAATTTAGATTGAAAATCATTCCAACTAATCTAAATTCCTGAACCAGCCTCCGGTTCTTTGTACTTATGAATGTTTTCCCTCCAATGTTTGGAGGGTCCACGACATAGTTTATAGTTCCACCATTATTGTACCGCAAGTCTACAACTCGGTGGCGCAATTGTGCCAACACCTGGTTTCCTCACTCGGAGGTGCAACTGACACTAGTGGCAACGGGGTTGCGCCTTTTACATCCCCATTCGCTCCCACAAACATCCGGTGTGATATAAATTTTTTTAGCCGTTTGTCTATGGGGTGACTAATATTAGCTTATGGGATAATTAAAATGAGAAAATAATACTAGTTCATAAGATATTAAAAAAATAATAATAATATTAGCTCATGGAATATTTTAAAGCAAAAACTACCGCTGGCTCATGGGGTACCTTTAGTATATATATGCCCACTTCATAATTTATTTTCAAGTTGCTTCATCCATTATTCTTCATTGTAAGTATTGAGTCATTTATCTAGTTTTAAATTTTATTAAAATATTATTGTAAATTCATATTTTCAAATTCTATATTACTGTTCATATTAATTATTACACATTAGATCTATTTATTTGTGAGGGTCATACATTTTCTACTCTCTATTAAATCAAAAGGTCCAAAACTATTATACATTTTTATTTTTTTTCTCTATAAACTTCAGTTAGAAGATCCATTTTACTGCAATCAGTTGCATTATCATTTTGACTACTAAATGAATATAGTGGATAACAAACATTCAGACATAAGACATATTCTCAGTATTTATATATTTTAATAAAATACTAAAAAACTATAATGCAATACTACTATTTTTTAAAAACCTAAAAAATAGATTTTAAAAAAAAAATTAGTGCTTTTTGAAATTGTTTTAATGCAAGATCTTGCTGATTAGCCGTTCAAACCCGGTTTTCAGAATGGTCGATCGGGGTCACCAATCCATTTTTTCAATCCTCAATTAAGAATATCCTAATGGGAAGCACATTGAGTAGCTACTAGTCTTGCCTACCTCATTTAGGGGATTTGAATCGTAGAGTTTCTCCTGATTAACAACCTATCAAACCCAATAAAACAAAATTATGAAAGAAACTGAAACCTAAGAACCAAATTGAGTATAACTGCTTCAGCCATCATTAATTAAAAGACCTTGCATACATGGCTATTCCACCCATCATAATAAGAGGACAATGAAATTTTATGATTGCAATCCTCAAATTATGGGACTGAACCAGAAGCCCATACAATGTGAGTATCACGTAAGAAATGGCAAGCATAATTCTGATGATCCGCTTTCTCTCCTTTGGGTAGGGATTGTGACCGAACTGGCAAATTTGATCCAGTTCTGAGTGTTAGGATGGCACCCTGCAATCCCGTCCACCGTGCTCCCATCTTCCCCTTCCAACTTCACCTTGTAGATTCTTCTTTCTCCAAAGTAGTGGCAATAGTGGACAGCATAAGGATAAGGCATGTTATGGCACATAGCTGAACTAGGTTATGTAGGCACTCTCTGTACTTTCTTCACTGTGTATGCTTGAAGAATAGAAGCCTAGTGGATGCTAGTGTGGAGCATAGTAATGTTATGATGATCTAGAGAAGATGGGGTGACATAGTCAATCATGGCCTCTAAAGATGTTAGGCACTTCTCCTCGGCTTTCAAGGACTCACACCACACTAGCGTCTCATGCACTTCATTAGCCTCACAAGAGGCGGGAGGGAACGCGAAGCGCGGCACGATGCGTGGGAGCTCCACAGATAAGAAAGCTATGGAATCTGCGTTCTCACGAGGAAGGGAAGGAGAGGCATTGTTGAAGTTGTACTTACGAAAGTGAAAATTTTTGTTCATTCCTACTTTGAGCTCCTCCTCTAAGAAGAGGGTGGTTTCTTTAGGATCGCAGTGCTCCTTTGTGAGCTCATTATTCAAGAAGCGGGGATCTTGATTTCCCAAACCCATATTCAACAGTCCTTATGGTACTGGGTGAAGACCGGCGCTAATTACATATGGCATTGGAGTGTTGGGGATCGCCTGTGTAGAATACCTCTCGGGTGTTGCAATACACAACATTGGCTTATACTCCCCAGCATTTTGCATACAACAAGTGAGTGAAGATTAGCAGCAGCACTAGGTGGAAAACATTCTATATTTGAGGATTAGTCCCAGGTGCAAAAACATTAAATAAAAAAGGAAAATGGTTTGATGGTCCTATCAAAATAAGTAAAACTTCACCTCATAACTCATCAAAAATTACAATTCAAGTATTAAAAAACTTTTACATCAATCATCTCGGCTCGAACACTATATGGAACACAGAAGCAACCTACAGCAAGAAGAAGTGGAGCACATGCAAGAGCCTCTCCATGATTCTTGTGGAATTGAAAGCAAACTTGCTGGTGGTTTTGTGAATGTTTAATTTGTGTAGCGGGAGTGAGGGCCCTCTTTTATTTATGCAGGAGGCCCATGGTAAAAATAGGAATGGGCAATGGAGAAAGAAAAGCTTTTCGAAGTGCACGTTGGCATGCGGACTGGACAACTGGCGTCTCTCTTGTTGAGTCATACATAATCCAACGACCCAGGCAAAACAATGTAGATCATGATCATCGTTCGCCGATGAAATGTTGGAAGCTTTAGAAAGAGTGGAACCCACAAATGGTAGGTTTGTAATAGCTAAAGAATAGCCCCAGTTGAGGGTTTTCATGGCCAAAAGGGCAATATAAATAATAATAATAATAATAATAATAATAATAATAATAATAATAATAATAATAATAATAATAATAATAATAATAATAATAATAATAATAATTAATAATAAATAATAAAAGGAGAAGAAGAAGTGGGTCGGGTTGGTGCACGTAATATTGGACACCAAATAGTAATAAACCCCATAATATGGTTTGTATGTAATTTGCTAATGTATTATTTATTATAACGTCATTTTTCATTAAATTTGTGATAGTTTTATTCTTAGAAAAATTAGAGATAATTTCTCTCTCTACAATTTTTCAAGTAGTTATCTCTCTAAAATTTGATATAGTTTCTCTCTCTAAAATTTAAGATAATTTCCCTCTCTAAAACTTAAAAGTTGAAATATTTTCTATCTCTAGGCGTGTTTGATAACTGAAATTTTCTGAAAGTGGGAGTTAAATGTCCCACTTCCATGTTTGATATTAATGTGTGGAAGCTGTAAAGTGGAAGGGTGACCTTCCATACAACTTATTTTTAGTGTTAAAATGGATTCATTTTTGGAAGATCTCTCTTCCATAAAAAATGATGGAAGAGCAGTCTTCCATAATTTATTGGAGAGTCCCTTTCACTCCCAAAAATTCTATGTGTCAAACACACCCTAAAAATTTTGAGATTGTTTTTCTCTTTAAAAATTACAAGTATTTTCTCTTTCTAAAATTTGATTTAGTTCTTTCTCTCTAAAATTTTGAGATTTTTCTCTCTCTAAAATTTTAATGTAGTTTTTCTCTCTAAATATTTTTATGTAGTTTCTCTCTCTAAAATTTGATATAGTTTACCTTTTTAAAATTTTAAGATACTTTCTCTCTAAAAGTTAAAATTTGAGATAGTTTCTCCCTCTAAAAATGTAAACATAGATTCTCTCTTCAAAAATTAAAATTTTGAGATAATTTCTCTCTCTAGAAACATCATTATAGTTTTTCTCTAAAAAAGTTGGAGATGTTTTCTCTCTCTAAAAAATATTAGACACTTCCTCTCTCTAAGACTTAAAATTTGACATAATTTCTCTCTCTAAAATTTGAAATAGTTTATCTATCTAAAATATTACGTACTTGCTCTCTCCAAGACTTAAAATTTGAGATAGTTTTTCTTAAAATTTAAAATTTGAGATAGATTATCACTCTAAAATTTTTGAGATAGTTTCTCTATCTGAAACATAAAATTTGTGATTGTTTCTCACTAAAACTTTTCCAATAAATCTCTCACAAAAATTTTCAGGTACTTTTCTCTCTCTAAAACTTGAAATTTGATATAGTTTCTCTCTTTAAAGTTTTGAGACAATTTCTCTTTTTAAAAGTTAAGATTTGAAATAGTTTCTGTCTCTAAATATTTTGAGATATTCTCTTGCTAAAATTTACAGCTAAACTCTCTTTGTAAATCATAGAATTTGATATAGTTTCACTCTAGGAATTAAAATTTCAGATTGTTTCTCTCTATAAAAATTTTGTGATACCTTCTCTCTCTAAAATGTTTTAGGTACTTTCTCTCTCTAAAATTTTAAATTTGGTGTCGTTTGTATCTCCGTGACTTAGAAATTTGAGATAGTTTGTCTCTAAATTTTTTGAAAAAGGTTATCTCTTCAAAATTTTCAAGTACTTTTCTCACTAAAACTTAAAACTTGAGATAATCTCTCTCTAACAATTTTGATAAAGTTTCTCTCTCTAAAATTAAGTTTCTCTATCTAAAATTTTTGAGATGGTTTCTTTCAGTAAAAATTTCACGTACTTTCCCTCTAAATCTTAAAATTTGATATGGTTTCTCTCTCTGACAATTTTGTGATAGTTTCTCTCTCTAAACTGTTTTAGGTACCCTCTATTTAAAATTTGATACAGTCCGCATTTTGTCTTTGGCCTACCATTGAGTAACCTCAGTAACTAAAAATAAAAAATAAAAATTGCAAATTGAGATCTCTAAGTATTAAGAAAAAATAACATCTCCAGATCGAATAGAGATGTCCAATCTTTCGATCTTGTAATTGAGTTTCCAAAAACACAATTTAAAGTATTCTTAAAACACAATTTAAAGTATTTTTACCTACATAATCATCTATTTTTATATGAGTAATGATCCTATAGGACCTTTCCCCACCCATGTGTGTAGGACCTCAAAGGATCACCATTAAAGTTGGTACGGATCTCTAGAAAAAATATCACATGGGTGTGAGACTTAACTTTTCTAGAGATTTGCGCCAACTTTAACGGTGATCCTTTGGGGGTCTTACACACATGGGTGGGAGATCATTTCTGTTTTTTTATTTGGCTTCCAAAACTTTTTAAAATGAAAAAGACATCGAAACTTTTTAAATGCACAATGATGGTCTTGCAAGAGCATAGTATACATGCTCTTTTATCAGGAACAAGAGTAAAGGTAGGTGTAGCATTCGGATTGGCAAATCAACCCGAACCAGGTCTGGATCTAGGTCCATGTTTTCGATTTGGCGGGTCACGTATGGGTCCAAATGACTTGGACTTAACGTAGGTTTCATCCAGTTCCGTTGTGGACCCTATCTGATTGGGTCAAGTCACCTAGTCTGGTCGTGTCCATCGCCAACCCTAGGTAGAGGAAGAAAAGAACAAGCAGGAATCTCTGTCATACTGCTTATTTCTCTATACAAATTAGGTTTATTTACTTTTGACAAGAAGAGGCAGCATGAGCTTTCGTCGATGAGTTTTTTTCACCCGTACCTGCTCATTTGAGAACCACACCCTACTCCTATAGTGACGAGCGGAAACCCTCATTTGCGTGCCTTCATGAACAGTGTGTGACCACCTCATGAAGGGGGCCTCACCCGGTTATCGCTTAGTATCATACAAACTGCTATGAATGTCACCATGTGACTTCCTTTCCTTTCTTTAATGGATATCGAAAATGTCAACATATTGTTCAAATCAGATACGGACGCAATACCAAGAATAGAATACCCAATTGAAATGCACATCGAATAGCTCCTAGTCTGCCTATCCTGTTCAGGGAATGAAGCATGTAAGTTTCTTTGATGTTTTAAAAAATAGATCGATGATTCGGATGGCCCCTCTAGATTTTCAATCAAGTACGATGGATTGGCGCTTTGGTCTACACAGCAAAAAATTCAAATAATTTGTAAAATTAACGTGGAGCCGGCTCTGTTTAGTTCTCTGATAGAACTGGACAAAATCAAACTGAACTGGGTAGTTTAGAGATTAATCGGCCATTCATTAGGGCACCAGCCAGAACTAGCAGTTCTATCAGATATTTGGTACAGACTGGTTAGAACCGGCTAGTTCATTAGAGGAATCGGCGGATAGCGAATATATTATAGGATTCCGATCTGTCTCACCGATTGCTAATTCAAATCGGCCAGTTTTGATCTGGATGACCAATTTTTTAAATACTCGTTTTCCCCATTGAAAGCCAATCAAACCTAAGAAAACAAAGACAAAAATAAAGAAGAAAAGGAAACTCAGCACGAAATTAAATAAAACCATATAAAACTTATTCATTAGAATACCTTGCTTACATTATTTTTATGCTAATCATAATAAGAATAGGATGAGTTAATTCATTGCACCTCAAATCATTGGGACTTAAACCCATACAATGTGGGTATCAGGAAAGAAATGGAAAACAAAACCGATCGGGCTTCATGTCATGAGCGGGGTCGATATACCAATAGGCTCGATCACTCCAATGCTGAATGCTTGCATGGCACCCTGCAATTGCATCCACTATTCTACCATCTTCCCCTTCCAAACTTACCTTGTAGATTGTCTCCGACATCGTGGCAATAGTAAAAAGCACAAGGATAGGGCATGTTATGGCACACTGTTGAGCTAGGCTTCGTATCCTTTCTCTCCACTTTCATTGCAGTGTATACTTTGAGAAATGAAGCATTGTTGATGATGGTGTGGAGCATAGTAATGTTATGGCCCAAAGAAGAGTTGGCGTAGTCAATCATGGCCTCCAAAGAAGTCGGACACTTCTCCTTGGCTTCTACATATTCACACCAGGTTGGGGTTCCTCACACTTCCTGAGCCTCTCTAGACACTGGAGGCAACGAGAACCGGTGTAAGATTTGGGGGAACTTGGCAGTCGAGAAAGGTACAATGCTTGCATCCTCATGGGAAAGGAAAGGAGATGCATTATTGAAATCCGACTTAATATTTTGTTCATTCCTACTTTGAGGTTCTCCTCTAAAAACAGGGTGGTTTCTCTAGGATCCAGATGCTCCTTTG